TGGCGATGATCGTGGGGAAGTGATCATCGCAAAACCCCCATTTTTGGGATGATCGCAGGGAAGCGCTTCCCCGCGATCATCCCAAAGCCTCCGCCGATCAGCTGTGTGAAAATGTGGGCTTTGGGATGATCGCGGGGAAGTACACTCCCCCCATCATCCCAAAGCCCCGCCAATCAGCTGTGTGAAAATGGGGCGTATGGGGAAAAATTGCAAAGTGATTTTTCCCCATAGGGAACATCACAATGCGATCGCAAAAGCGATCACAAAATCTTCATTGCTATGCGGATTCGTCGTTAAACGGGGTGCCCGTTAAGCGAGGCACCACTGTAATACTGTAGCTTATTAACCTGGACTGGTTCTTTTCCCTCACAAAAAGCAAAAAGTACAAGCCCCTTTCTTCTCTTTCAGTGGCTTTTCTTGTAACTAGATTGCACTTTTCTAAGTAGCTTGTCTCAGCTACTCCCAAGCTCACAACCTTTGCCACAATATTTCCCTGTCTGGGCGATTCTTTTCTCCAGACACATGAACAACTTCTGCTTAGCTTTTATTATCACTGAACAACTTCTCCTTAGCTTTTATTATCACCTCAGATCTATCCTGGCCTAGGCTTCCACTCCATCCACCACTGTTCTTTATCCTCAGAGCTCCAGATTTTGAGCTAGCCACTAGGTCTTGTAAATCATGAGGTAAAAATGGTTTCTCTTGAGTAGGTATTTTCCTTATCTTAGGATTCCCCAGATGTGGATTCAGAAGCCCCAAAACTAAGTCTTCACCAAGACTCTAATAGGTAACCACTTCTTACCACAGATCCTTACCCCTTCTAGCTAGGAACACCTTCAATCTAAGCAAATTCAACCTTTTTACTTTTTACAGTTGCTGATATACAGGAAATTGCTGGATCATTTTTGTTATGTGAAACATTACAATTTCTATACTTCTTCAATATATTTCAATACTGTCTTGACATAATTACAGAAAGTTTGAAAGTTGTTACATCGCCTATTTCAATACTGTCACCCATGCATCACTTACAATCTTGACATACTTACAGAAAGTTTGAAAGTTGTTACATCGCAATTTCTGTCATTTTGCATAATGCAAGCTGTGGTGCAGTTTTTCCAAGTTTGCACTGCCACCGCTTTAAAACTGCACCAATGCTTCCATTCCAGCAGTCAGTGCTGGGAAGCATCCCAGCGCACTGCCACCACTTTAAAACTGCACCAATGCTTTCATCCCAGCAGTCAGTGCTGGGAAGCATCCCAGCTACTGACAGTGTTGGGTTCAGGGCTCACTATGCAGCAAAACCAGAACCACTGAAGCTGCCCCTGAGGCAAGAACAGTATTGCTGTCTGGCCACTTGTTGTAGAAGCTTCCTGACCACCTCAGGACTGGCCAGCTGGCACTGTTGTTGCTGTCACAGTGTGGGCACCTCCAGGGGCTCCTTTCTCTCCCACACGGCAAGTGAGAGAGGCTGACCTGGACACCAGCATTGTCAGTTGTGGCAGGAAGCCTCCCAGAGCTGGCCAACCTGTTGACCAGGGACTCCCTCACATCCTGCTTTAATGAGGATCCACATTAAAGTAGGACAAGTGGAAGAGACAGTTTCATGGCTGTTTTCAGATAACCTGCAGTAAATAACTTACCTCGGGTGATCTGAAATGTGTAGTTCCTGCCTCTGTCTCTCCAAAGGCTTTCAAGTTAAAGACAGCAAAAGTACAAAGACAAGGAAGAGAAGTAGAGGTACCATGAAGCAAAGTGACTTGTCCTGGACCACAGCTTTAGGGTGTTCGCAAAGTCAGGAAATCAACCTAATTTATCTCGGGGTGACTGAGAAGCAAGACTCATCTCTGCATTCATGCATTTTTCCGACTGTCCCAGTGGATTGTGTTCTAAGCAGTTGAAAAATAGCAAGGGCCAGAACTTGCAGCTGGCCCTGGTATACAGCCAGCGTCTCTCCGGATGTTTTTCAGGCCCCTCAGTTGGAAGAAACACTTCTTCTCTGTCCTGCTCCTTTGGCATTGCTGTAAGATTGTCTCTGATATAGAATAAAGGCTCAGTCTCTGGCAGGAAATGGTTCCTGCTCATATTACAGCCAATGGGTCCCTGGAAGACAGCAAACACAGAGCTATATTGTCAGCTCTGTGACAGTGGACTGAGCAAGGAAATTCTCTGTGTGCCGAGAAAAGGATGTTGCCTTAGAATATGGAAGATAAGTAATGTCAAATGCCAGTGGAGGAAGGATTGGCATAGTCATATATTCGCAGTGGAGACTTGTCTCCTCTGACAAGGGCTGGAGAAAGGGAAAGGGATCTCTGTGTCTTTTCTCCTTTCTTTACGGAAGGTTTGAAAAGATGTACTGTTTCCTTTTCAGTTTTTATGCTCATTTGCCCTGATAGAAAATAAGGTCTTTTTTGCTTATTTCAGGTAGTGGGAATGGACAGGTGTAAGACATGTGCAAAGAAAAAAGGCCAAAGGCATGTTATAGATACACAGGGGAAAAAAGTAGGATGGGTTGAGGCAGGATGAATTAAAAGAGAGGGAATGTTTTCAGCAGGCAGATTTTGTCAGAGCAAGAGTTCTGTTCTTGTTTTTTTTTAATCCTTCTGCATTCTGCCTTGTGATTGGGAAAATGTTCTTCTTGGGGTGAGAGGTTGCAGCAGTTATGTGTGTATTTATATATATACAGGATTGCTATATGGCAATGATTCATAGCCTTTAGTAACCCATATGTTCTTGGACTGCAATTTCCAGAAACTCTAGCCAGCACAGCTGGTGGTGAAGGGTTCTGGGAATTGCAGTCCAATTGCAGTCCACCTGGGTCATTCAAGTCTGGGAACCACTGCTATATGACTAAAGAGGTAAGATTAAAATTTGGGAATTGGGATATATTGTCTGTCTGTCTCTGTCTCCCCCCTTCCCCTTTCATTTCTATCTCACTAGGTTCTTGCCAGTTTGCTCATCGTCAGAACAGGTGTTTGGCGCTTCTAAGCTCTGCCTCCTCCAGCAGGCAACCACTTGGTAGCAACAGCCTGGCTTTTCTGCCCTGTCTCTTCTGGGTACTGCCCCTGAGTGGGCACCCACTGGAGGAGGTGGGGCTTTGAAGCACCAAGCACCTGTTCAGCTGCTAAATAAAGCAGCGCAAACTGCTGAAATAGCTGTTCACACTCATCTCTGCATCTCACCTCTTCTCCACTTCAGGAACCCAAGGCACTTAAAAGTGGGATGGAATTTAGAGTGTCAGTGGTGGGTGGAAAAGGAACTCTTGTGAAGAGACATTCAGCTCTTTCTCTTTCTTCGTGATCTTGCTTCTTCTAATCTTCCAAGCATTTTCAGGAAAAATAGCTAGATTACAGTATTCATATATGCAGATACTGAAATAAAATAGATTTCTAGTTTCCCAACTTATTGCCAACTTTTTAAACAAAAATGCAGACCACCACCAACAACAACAACATGCTGACTTAAGGCTACCCTTTTTAAAGAATACTCAGGTAAAGAATATTCAGAAGTGCCTTACCATTCTCTTCTTCTGGGGGCACCCCGGGACTGTGCAATTAGCTTGAGAACACACAGGCTGACTCTACTTGCAGGTGGCACAGTGGGGAATCAAACTCCCAACCTCTGGCTCTGCAGCCAGATACCTCAATCACTGAGCTATCCAGACTTTTAGTTGTCTTGAATTTTGCACAGCCAAGATATATTTGGAACTCCATGGCACAGTGGTTAAACTGCATTACTGCAGTCAAGCCTCTGCTCATCACTTGAGTTTGATCCTGACAGGTTCAGGTATCTGGCTCAAGGTTGACCCAGCCTTCCAGTCTTCTGGGTTTGATAAAATGAATAACCAGCTCACTGGAGGGCAAAGGGCTCTTTGTATGATTATGTTGTAAATTACCCAGAGAGTGCTCCAAGTGTGCCGAAACAATAAATAAAACAAATGAATAAACTCTGTTAGAGGGTGTCCTGGAGGCAGTGCACAGCTTGTCAAGGAGAAGATGAAGAATAAAATACTTCTTCCTTTCTTTTTCTTAGCACAAAATCATCTGTTCCTAAGTCTTTCTCCTTGTAGACGCAGTTTTTGTATTCTGTTACATATGTATGCAGTGTTTGCCTAATGGAAAAATTGTATGTGTACCTATTTCAGATCTACAGTAAAGTGTGTATAAGTGTGTATAAGTGTGTGTGTGTGTGTGTGTGTATAAACAGTACATTCCTATACACCCTTATTTTTGATAATCACTTGTTGGATTGATTGCACTCACTGGGACTTACTTGTGAGTCGTGCTGTTAATAATTTAACTGGATGGGAAATTCTTACCACTTCTTTTTTAGACTTTAAATGCCAGCTTATCCTAAACTTACTTTTTTTTCAATGTTGTCTTTTCTAATTGAGCTGGAGGAACACATTCATCAAGTATCCATCTAGATGTTACCGAACCACATGCCCAGGTACAACAGATTTTCTGAGATCTTTATTGCTGGCTCTTTCAAATAACAATGGTCTAAACTGGATCAGACATCAATGAAGAGGTTTAGGGTGGAATCTAGAGCAGTGGTTGCAAACCTTGGGTAACCAAGGTGTTCTTGGACTGCAACTCCTAGAAACCCCACCCAGCACAGCCTTCAGGAGTTGCAGTCCAAGAACACCTCGGAAGCATTCCTCCATCAGTAGTAGATTCTCCTGAGGGAGGTATCCTACTGGCAGAAGACTTTGTTGTTTAGTTGTTAAGTCGTGTCGACTCTTTGTGACCCCATGAACCAGAGCATGCCAGGCCCTTCGGTCTTCCGCCGCCTCCCGGAGTTGGGTCAAATTCATGTTGGTAGCTTCAATGACGCTGTCCAGCCATCTCGTCCTCTGTCATCCCCTTCTCCTCTTGCCTTCACACTTTCCGAACATCAGAGTCTTTTCCAGGGAGTCTTCGCTGCTCATGAGATGGCTAAAGTATTGGAGCCTCAGCTTCAGGACCTGTCCTTCCAGTGAGCACTCAGGGTTGATTTCCTGCAAAATGGATGGGTTTGTTCTCTTTGCAGTCCAGGGGGCTCTCAAGACTCTCCTCCAGCACTACAATTCAAAAGCATCAATTCGTCAGCAGTCAGCCTTCTTTATGGTTCAGCTCTCACTTCCATACATCGCTACTGGAAAAAAACATAGCTTTGACTATGCGGACCTTTGTCGGCAAGGTGACATCTCTGCTTTTTAAGATGCTGTCGAGGTTTGTCATCGCTTTCCTCCCAAGAAGCAGGCGTCTTTTAATTTCGGGGCTGCTGTCACCATCTGCAGTGATCATGGAGCCCATGAACCTAAAACTTTTTGTACTCCTTTCCCAATTTTGAACCAATCAGTTCCATATCCAGTTCTAACTATTGCTTTCTGTCTCACATATAGCTTTCTCAGGTGATAGTTCAGGTGGTCAGGCACTACCATTTCTTTGAGAACTTGCCATCGTTTGTTGTGGTCCACACAGTCAAAGGCTTTTGTGTAGTCAATGAAGCAGAAGTAGATGTTTTTCTGAAACTCTCTGGATTTCTCGATAATCAAGCACATGTTAGCAATTTGGTTTCTAGTTCCTCTGACCCTTCGAAATCCCGCTTGTACTTCTTGGAGTTCTCAGTCCACATATTGCTGAAGCCTATCTTGGAGGATTTTGAGCATAACCTTGCTATTGTGTGAAATGAATGCAATTGTATGGTAGTTGGAGCA